AGAAACTTCGAAAAAAGCAGCGTCATGTTCAAGTGGATTTTGCAACTAAAAAAAAACCACGCAAATCTAAAACTTCTTGAATTCAAGCATTTTTTAAGAAAACTGCCAACATTTCCTTATCGATGGTTCACTTGCTAGAAAGGCCATTTATTTCTCTCTAGAATGACGTACAAATGAGCGTTCTAGCTCATTTTGCCTCCGAGATATGAGCAAAAATGGGACAGAAAACATAAAATTTTGGCATAATCTTGAACATAAGTGTTTGATATTCAAATTTGGCTTTCCGGGTCAAAACTACTCGAATTTCCTCACTCACGTTGTTACGACTGAATCGACTTTTCAATTCTCTATCCAACGATGCCAAAACGAATTGGCTCGAATGGTACCTACTTGTCTCTGGTAAGAGAACCAAGAGATATAAACGACTAATAATAAATCATTTTTGGGTTGGAAAGTTTCTTTCCTGCTCTCTTATCAAGGATCGTATGAAATAGAATCTAAAACTTGAAAGTTTCGCTGCGGGGGCATCATCAAGGATTTTTGGAAAGAAATGCGGGAAATTTACCAGCGAGACGAAACAAATCAAGAAAGCAATTTTTTGTGTTTTGCTGTAAAAGACGAAAATTTTAGGGCAAAATACGAACATTTTCGCGTAAAAATAAGTCAGTGAATGTTGTCACATTAGTTAAAAACCACCCTGCATAAATAAATGGCTTCATCAATGAACGCACTATAAAAACAGTAAAATAGACAACAAATGTGGCCAGTTGAATGCGAAACGAGATAGAGATCAAATTATAAAAACAACGTCGCGGGAGACTGAAAGATCTGAAAATAAAACAGCATCTAAATGTCTCCGGATTGTGTAAGTTCAGTTTCACACAAACTTTTATGGTGTTTATACTGATAATTGGCCCTGTGACGGATTTTCCCAAAGGGTTTAAGTGTCTGGTGGCGCAAAACCCGGTAAGTAACTTGGTTCGGATGAACCGTGCTGAGTTTTGCACCGATTTTCCCGATAAACTGGCTAAAACAAGAATTTACGTAGTCCAAGCTTACTCATGTTTTGCGAATAGTTCGGGTTTTCGGCGTGTTTTGGAAATTTTCCGTGTGTCACGTCGCAAATCAGGACGATTGCTTGAAGAAAACCGATTGCTTGATCGATTCTTCGGAAATACGGGCCAGCAAAGCGGCGTTGGACGGGAATTAGAAGACAAAAACGACAATTACATGGGCTTCAATATGGCTACGGACATCTTGTTTTTGAACTTTATCCAACACCACATGTCTATTTTTAATGCATTTGTGACACCTTTTCCAACACGGGAATTCTCTCATTTCCACAGAAAAACAAAATGGAACAAAGGAGCGCTGAATGTTCACGGGACAGAACCAAACGGCCAGTTCGAAATAAGCGATTTAACAGGTTTGGGGCCAAATTGCGAGATTTGACTTTGGTTTGAACTTGCTCAAATGTGTGCGACGTATTTCTGATTAACATGTTTGTGCCTACTTGAGTAAGTGATTTTCCTTTGATTTATTCCATTAAGTCTTCCTCACACTCAACCCCTTAAGGGATGAATCCCATGGCTTTTAATCATGTCCAAACCAGCAGGTTTTGCTATAGTTGATTAGTTATACAGAGTGCTCCAAACTTCAGTGGCAAAACCACATGTGGTAAATTAAAAAATCAATCCTTTACTATAGTCCGTGAGCAAGGGCGGATCCAGGGAATTTTGCAACTCAAAAAAAAAACCATGCAAATCTAAAACTTCTTGAATTCAAGCATTTTTTGAGAAAACTGCCAACATTTCCTTATCGATGGTTCACTTGCTAAAAAGGCCATTTATTTCT